AGAGAGAGAGAGAGAGAGAGAGAGAGGAAGCGAGAGAGAGGGAGAGGCGAGAGAGAGAGAGAGAGAGAGAGCGGAGGGGGAGAGAGAGATAGAGAGAGAGAGAGGGGGAGTTGAGAGAGGAGACAGGCGAGAGAAAGAGAGAAGAGAGAAGCGAGAGAGAGAGAGAGAGAAGAGAGAGAAGAGAGAAGAGAGAGAGAGAGATAAAGAGAGAGAGATAGATAGAGATAGAAGAGAGAGAGAGAGAGAGAGGGAGAGAGAGAGGAGAGAGAGAGAGAGAGAAAGTGGAGAGAGAGGGGGGGGGAGAGAGAGAGAGAGAGAGAGAGAGAGAGAGAGAGAGAGAGAGAGAGAGAGAGAGCGAGAGACGAGAGAGAGAGAGAGAGAGAGAGCAGAGAGAGAGAGAGAGAGAGAGAGAGCGGGAGAGAGCGAGGGAGAGCGAGAGAGAGCGAGAGAGAGCGAGTGAGAGCGAGAGAGAGAGAGAGAGAGAGAGAGAGCGAGAGAGAGCGACAGAGAGCGAGAGAGAGCAAGAGAGAGCGAGAGAGCGAAAGAGAGAGAGAGAGAGAAGAGAGAGAGAGAGAGATAGAGAGAGAAAGAGAGAGAGAGAGAGATAGAGAGAGAGAGAAGAGAAGAGAAGAGAAGAGAAGAGAAGAGAGAGAGCGAGAGAGAGAGAGAGGGAGAGTGAGAGAGAGAGGAGAGAGCAGAGAGAGAATAGAGAGAGAGAGAGAGAGAGAGAGAGAGAGAGAGAGAGAGAGGCAGAGATAGAGGCAGAGAGAGAGAGGCACAGAGAGAGAGGCAGAGAGAGAGAGAGAGGCAGAGAGACAGAGGCAGAGAGAGAGGCAGAGAGAGAGAGAGAGGCAGGGAAAGAGAGGCAGAGACAGAGAGAGGGCAGAGAGAGAGAGAGACAGAGAGAGCAGAGAGAGCAGAGAGAGAGGCAGCTCAGTCACACTTGAATCCAGCTTCGTCCTCACCGAGTCCCACCACCAAGGGAGCGCCAGCAAGGAGATGCACATATGGGGATCCCCACGCAGTGAATAATGTTTTTTTTTTTTTTTTTTTTTTTTGTTTTTTTTGTTTCATCCGACATCCCCCTGTAGAGGGACACGCCCGACCTAACACTTGGCGCCCTCCGACCGAGGATCGATGTCTCCCAGATGGGATCGGAGTAGATTCGACGAGCAAGAAGCGGCATAAACAGACACTCGGGGCTCCGAACGTTTTCGTTTATGTCGTTTATCGATCCTCTATAAATGGGGTCGGAGGGTCGCGCCGCTTCGCCTATTCGGCTCGATGTGAATACGGCTTTTCTACCCCCCAAATATTCCAAGAAGGTAAAACATATAAAAAAATAGTTCCCAGACTATTTTTGGAATTTTTTCTTCATTATTTTTGGGGCAGTTCTTATTTTTCGTAGAAAATCCCCCTGTACGGGGACAGGCCCGACTTAAGACTTCCTGGAGACCTCTTGCGACCACTGGAGGCGCCCTGGAGACTGCCGTCGGGGCCCCTCGCCGCGCCCGCGGGCGCAGACGCCCTGGGCGAGATCCGACGTCGGCGATGCATAGGCGACGTAGGCGTGGGGGAAACTCGGGCTGCCCATCGAGCCGCATCGGTGATGCATCGGCGATGCCATCTGGTAGGCTTAGATCCGCGGAGGCCTCCGGAGACATCTGGAGACCACCTGCAGGCCACGCCGCCGCGGCTCCCACGCCTACGTCGTCTGTGCATCGCCGACGTCCTTCGGCCCTCGCGCGCGCCTGCGCGCGACGAGCCGCGCCGCAGGATCGGCGACGAGGAGCTCCGGCAGATGTTCTCGGCCATCGACCAAGACGGCTCGGGTGCCTGGCCGCCCGGACGCCCCCGCTGACTCTCTAGGCTTCCCAGATGGGGTCGGAGTGCGTAGGTGGGGTCCGAGGGTCGCGCCGCATCGACGATGCATCGGCGGTGCTCCTCGATGCGGAGCCTGCTTTTCCGCATGCCGATGGCGCCGATGTATCGCTGACGTCGCCGATGCATCGCCGATGCTTCGCCGATACATCGGTGATGCATTGGTGATGCGGCGCGATTCTTCGATCCCATCTACTCGGACCCCATGTAGGAGGTCTCTACTACTGACCATCTCCGAAGGCTGCGGCAGCAAATCACGGGAGCCTAGTGTGCCCTCTTTGATTCCATTTTAGCATCGATCAGCGTCGATTAGCGTTTGGGAGTCGATAAGATAGCGCCGATTTAGCGTCGGTTAACGTCGATTAGCGTCGATATAGCGTCGATTAGCGTCGATTCGCGTCGATTCGCCTCCATTTGCGTCAATTCGCGAGAGCCGACAAGATGGTATGGAAGGCTCCCGTGAGCTGCCTCCGAAGAAGGCCGCTGTGGCCCAGAAGACTGTTTGCTGGGCGTGGGGGCGCTCAGCTGCCCAGAGCTGGATCCGAAAACCAGCAGCACACGGCACAGCAACTCTCGCACGTCAGTTGCAGAACACCTTTCGGGGGCCCGTCGTTGCTTCCCCCTCGGCCTCGTCTTCCTCCTCCTCTCCCTCGTTCCCTCGTCGCCCTCCTAAAAACAGAAATCCGCCGTAACATCCGGAGTCGGCGGGAAAAAAACAAAAAAACAAAACAAACAAAACAACACCTTTTGGGGGCCCGCTGCCCTCTCTTTTGCTCGTGATCGGCGTCACCCCAACACACTGACACAATGTGTGCCTCGCCCCCCGGGGGCGACGCGCGCGCCGAGCAATCTTACTGCACAGGCTTCGTTGCTGCCGCTTTTTGCCCGCACCGCTCGGGACACAATGAACCACACGTCGGTTGTGCCGCGTGTTCGGGTCGGGCGCACGCCTCCGGGGAGGACACATCGCATGCAGTATACTGGTACGTCCTCGTGCGTCCAATGTGGCCTTCTCTGGGTTGCACGCCGGGGCCCATGAGGGCACTTTTTTCGGGGCTCTAGAGACGGGGGTCAATGCAAACGGGGGTCAGCCAGGGCACCGGATCCTGCAGGATCCTGCGAAGACCCCCTTTGGCTGACCCGGGTTAGCGAGCCGCTCGTGGCCGCGAGGCGGCCGCGCATATTGGCTGACCCGGGTTTGCGAAGACCTGCGTTGCAGTTATTTTGCCCTGCATTGCAGTTTTTGGTTTCCTGCTGACCTGGGTCTGTATTGACCCGGATCAGAAGATCCCCGATTTTTCAGGGCCCGCCCGCCCCCCCCCCCCCCCGGGATAACCTGGCCTTGCCCGCTGCGCAGGCACGAGGGCGGGGGGGTACGTACGCAGAACTGGTGCGGCGCGGGCACGCGCGGGGCTGCCCGGAGCGAAAAAAGCGGAGAGGTCCGGTCATCGGCCGGCACCTCCCGCCCCACCCCCGTACAGTCGGGGCCCTGAGGAAGGAACCCTTTTCGTTGGGGAGGGGCTCGGTGTTCCTTAGTCTTTTTGCAGTTCGCCTTTGGTTTTGCTTAGGGTTTCGATGGGAAGTCGAAGTTTAACTTGTGGGAAAAAGGGGCCTCGTTCCTTATTTAGGGTTCCTTAGGTCAGCGCCCCGACTGTACCGGATAATCTGGTGCATCGCCGGCAAGCATGAATAGGGGACCAGACATCAGAGCCCCGAATCATCAGGGGTAACTCGGGTCAGGGATAACTCGGGTTCGTTTTTCGGGAATCCAAACCCGATTTACCCCGGACCCGAGTTACCCCGGATAACTCGGGCGTCCAGAGCCCCGAATCATCAGGGGTAACTCGGGTCAGGGCTAATTCGGGTTCCTTTTTCGGGAATCCAAACCCGACTTACCCCGGACCCGAGTTACCCCGGATAACTCGGGCGCCCAAAGACAGTGACATAAACATGAAAACTCGGAGGTCCGCGCGGATTTCTCGGATCGGCGCTGGGGCCCCCTGGCGGCGCCTCCAGCGCCGCCCCTGGCGCGCTCCTCGCGCCAGGGAGGGGGGTCCAGCGCCGATCCGAGAAATCCGCGCGGACCTCCGAGTTTTTATGTTGATGCCACTTATTGTTCCTCTAGTGAAGCAATGTCTCCATCGCAAGGGGAGAAGAGAAATTAACAGAAAGTGGTCCGCCGTCGTAGATGCCAGCCCCAGAGCGACCGAGACGCCCGGACGCTCCCTTTGTCATCCGGGCTCACGTAACGGGAGTCAGCGCTCACTGGGTTCAGCCAATCCCCTCTGGCTGACCCCCGAAGCCCAAATTGCCAAATATCCCAAGGCTTTGCGTCGCTTGTCGGGGGCTTCCCGCGTCCTGTCGCGTGAAGTTGTCGGACTCGAGAAGGCCACAAGACGGGCCAAGATGGCCCCGAGAGGCCCCCAAGACGGTCAAGATGACCCCAAGACGCCGTTTTGGGAACCGCGCAGGGCCGATTCCCCTTGTCTCCCCACCGCCGACCCGGGATTGGGAGCCATCTGGCGGCCAGCCAGGCTTCACGACAGGGCCCTACCTGGGTTTGTGCTGATCCAGGTTCGTGTGTTCCCGATTTGACCTTCTGAGCTGCACGCTTGGACCTGGCAGCCCAAACACGAAACTTAGCGGACAAGAAAAGGTATACGTAACATAAACCTTTCTGCCGTCCGAGATGCCTGCCCCAGAGCGGCCCGAGAGGTTATCACCGTACGGTGGCGCGTCGGGATATATATATATATATATATATATATATATATATATATACATATATATATATGAATATATGCATATGTATGTGTGTATTTATCTATATATATATATACATATGGTTATGAACTACAATTTCACATGTCTATATGTATATATATACACATATATATATATAGGTATGTAGGACTGCATTCGCGCAATGCACCTTGGCCCTTGAAGTTTGGCATGCAGGCAGAAGGGCAGGAAGGTAAACACAGACAATTTAGCGATAACGCCGTGTTGCCTTTTCCGACATCGCCGTTGTCATAATTGTATTATTCATATTTCCCTCATGTTTCCTCTTCCTCCTTCCCCTTCACGCCCTATCCTGCCAATTCTTCCCCATCCTCCTCAGCTTTATTTGCGGAGGCTCCTTGGAGAGACTTGTGGGGGCCTCACGACAGTTTGATGGGCTTCTTTGGGCCTTCTAGAGGCCTCCTGAGCGCCTTCTGGAGGCCTCTGGGGGCTTCCTCGGGCCATCCTGCTTCCAACCGCGGTCTCCCTGAACGACCAGGTCACGATCTGGAAGGCTTCGGGGGGCGTCTTGGGGCCATCTTGGGTCTTCCTGGGGCTCTCTTGGGGCCATCTTGGAACCCTGTTGTGCCGTCTTGGGGATCTCCTGGACTGCCTCGAAGCCCTTTCGGATTGTTTTGGGGCGATTTTCGTTCCTCCTGGGCGGTCTCGGACGCCCGGAAGTCCGAAGAACAGAGCATTCTCAAACTCAAGCAAAAACAATTGAAAATGCATGGTTTTCTGCGGTTCTTTGGGTTGTCTTCGGGCGTCTGCTGGGTCTCTGGGGCCTCTTGGGGCCCTCGGGGGGCTGTTCGGCTGACCCCCTGACCGATTTGGGCCCGTTGCCTGAGCCCAGCAGGGGCTTTCAGGAGCTCCGGAAAGCTGAGAGGGGCTTTCTGCAGGGGCGTCCAGGGGGCTTCCGGGGCCATGTGGCCCGAGGGGAAGCAACAAGCTCCATCAACAATGACTTTTGGGAGGCCCACGCGAATCTCTTGGACCTGCGCTGGCGCCCACTCCACCAGGGCGCCAGCGCGGCAGCAAGCGGAGGTTTAGCGCCGATCCGAGGAGTGCGCGCGGGCCTCGTTTCTTTCAGTGTAAGAGAGCTTCTTAGCGTTCTGGTAAGTGGTGTTGGGATTCACGGTCGAGGTCGTTGGTGGTGACGATGTTGGTGCGGATGGCGGTGTCGCTGCCGAGGTTGACGTACGATGCCGATGCTGATGCGAACGTTGATGGTGCTGTTGATGTTGGCACCTGGTGCCGTTTGCTAGGATGAGCATGCTTGTGATAATGACGACCATGAGGGCGATGACGGCGACGACACTGATGATGCTGATACTGATGACGACGACGAATATGATTACGACTTCTAAGGTTGTGGTTATTGCGCTGACAACGGCAATTCTGATGAGAGCGATTCTGATACTGATGACCATGATACTGGCAATGCTGCTGATGATGATGAGGAGGACGACGACGATGATGCTGCTGATGATGATACTGATGTTGATTGTGATGATAATGCTGTCACTGACGATGCTGATGCTGCTGCTGATGATGATGATGATGATGATGATGATGCTGGCGATGGTGATTGTGGTGGTGATGATGCTTATGATGACGATGACGATGACGATGACAATAATGATGATGCTGCTGATGCTGCTACTGCTGATGCCGATTCTGATGATGTTGATGATGCTGATGCTGCTAATGATGATGATTATGGTTATGATTTTGTTTATGTTTATGCTTCTGATGATGATGACGGTTTCGAACATGATGGTGAACGGCGATGGCGATGCTGATGGTGATGATGATAATGTCGGCAACATCGACAATTATGTTATCGACTTGGGTTATTCTGATCATGCTGCTGATGATGACTATGGTGATGTCTGCGAATCTGATGCTGATGCTGATGCAGATGTTGCGGATGTGGGTGACTTCTGTGCATGTAAGTCTGGACGAATTTAGTGCCCGTCAAATTTTTAAATGGGCTGCGCGCTTGCACGTCTGCCTTCCCTGGCACGTCTGCCTTCCATGTGGGGTCGGAGGATCGCGCCACGATGACGATGTATCGACTTTCTCCTCCGTCGCGGCGTCGCCGACGCATCGTCGTTGAATCGGCGATGCGGCGCGATCCTGAGACCCCATGTGCTCGGACCCCACCTGGGCGGCGTGCGCTCTCGGGGGCCGCATGCGAACCGTACCCCTACCCCCCACGATTTCTGAGGGGGAGGGCAGGGGTAGGGTCCGCATGTGGCCCCCTACGCTCCCCCTCCTCCTCGGTGCTCCGCGTGCCCTTCCTGGGTCGGCGCTGGACCCCTCCCCCTGGCCCCGGCGCGCTCCGCTCGCCGCCTGCGAGGAGACCGGCGCGCTCCGCTCGCCGCCGCGGCGGCGGCGGCGGCGACGACGAGGGCGAAAAACACAGATTTTTGTGCCAATTGTTGGTTTTGCCCTCTTGGAGTAAGTCGGGCCTGCCCCTCTGCAGGAGGAGTACAGTCGGGGCGCTGAAGAAGGAACCCTTTTCGCTGGGGAGGGGCTCGGTGTTCCTTGATTGTTTCAAAGTTTGCCTCGGGTTTCCCTGAGGGCTTCCATAGGAAATCGAGGTTGAACTTATGGGAAACAGGGGCCTTGTTCCTTATTTAGTGTTCCTTAGGTCAACGCCTCGACTGTATTCAAAAATAGTTAAAAACACTCAGGGACGATTTTTGTTAGAGTATTTCTTGCGTATTAATATTTCTTCGCCCCAAATCCCCCTGTAGGGGGAAAGGCCCGACCTAACTCTTGGAGTTCTCTTGGGACTGCTCTTGGAGCTCTCTTGGGCCTCTTTGGGGGCTT